CCACTAACTCTGCATAAGGTAAGACATACTGCTCTAAAATGTCAATGTAAATTTGGGCATTCATCGAGCGCCTCACTGGAAAAACATGAAGGGGTGTCTTTCCATTCATTGAAATCCCTCCCCACACCATAACGGACCCACCATTAAAACTTTCGCATTCTGTTATTAAATTTTGATTAAACCGTTCACCAGTTCTCCTTCACACTCTTCGTCTTCCATCCACCATGTTGAGGCAAAACCTTGACTCATCCGTAAACAAGACATTCGACCATTCAGGAATATTCCACTGTCCATAATTTTCAACAAAATTTCTTCTAGCAGCACGATGTTCGGGCAATAATTTGGGACCTTTTGCAGGTCTCCTAGCTTTTGAATTAACTTCTTTTAGACGTCTACATACCGTCTGCTTACTTACTGCAACATCACGAATTTGGCGAAACTGAATATTTACCGCAGTATTTGATCGATTCCGTAAAATCCGCAATCTCAAGAAACGATCATCTCTTGGAGAAGTTTTTCGGGGGCGACCAGAACCGACCCTCCGAGCGGTGCTTCCTGTTTGTTCGTACTTGCGGATTGCTCTACGAGCAGTTGCTTCATGAACTCCCACTGCACGAGCGGCGTAACGTTTACTACGCCCATCGTTTACTAACGCAACTAATCTTGCTACTTGTTCAGGATTTATTTGAGGCATACAACAAATTAGTTGCTATGGCAACGGCATTTGTTTTTTTAAAGTATGTGATCCTACCAGAGTACAACCCAATCAATTTTGAGTACTCTGATCCTTCAATGAATTTAATTTGTGGGATAAGCGTAAGGTATCAGCAAAAAAGCTGTAATTCGGAAAATTTTAGAGATAAATCAATGTATAAAAAAACAAAATGCTCGCAAGAGAAGCCTTTTTCGTATAGGGTGCAAGCACTTTGTATACCATTACTCAATTAACACACAGGGTGAGTCAAAAATTAAGAATAAACCATGGTTCGAGTTATTCCACCACCATCAAGGAGGCTTTGACAACATTTTCACCTCTTTATTTTATTTTTAAAGACAAATGCATTACGTACCAACAAATAAAAAAATAAAAATCGGCCTACTATTTTTTTATTTTTTTTTTTTTGAAGATAGGTCAAATATCAAGTGCTCACTTTTTTGGAACTGAGTGTATTTTCAAATTTGCCGCGCTTGAAAACGGCAATCGAGTAAACTAGGGTATTTTCAGTAATCAAGGTGGGCAAAACATGATTTTTTGATGGGCTACCCTGCTCTGTATATATTTCCGATGCGATCATTGGGACTTCACTGGTCGATTTTATATGCACGCGCATTGTACCGTTATTTGAACCTAATAACGCCTGGCGAGCCAAGAAAAATGAAAAAAACGTTATTACGTTGAATGCATCATTGCGACTTGTTGAATGCGAAACGAGATGATATCGAAAAGTTTCTAACAAAGAAAGAAAACAATTACACGATGCGCCTGAGCACGCAGCTAGCTGGTATTTAGAAGAGAAAAGTGCGGTTTTTACTTTTCAACTCGGTTTTTCTCCGTTTACGGCGGGCCCACATACTCGGTCAACTGGGTTAATGTGTTAAGATCGCGCGTGTTGTTTTCTTTGTTTTCATTAGGAGAAAATGATAGAAAACGCATAATTACTTCATTAACAACAAATTACGAAGAATTAGAATTATTTGTGCACCAATTCGATGCGATAGGAATGGGCGTGTACACCTTATAGTAGAACTTTTAACTCAAACCATGTTTATAATGATCCTTTCATAACTAAATAATGATTGACGACATAATTCGATCGAAAAATTAGCTGGACTGTTTTATTTTTTGACATAAATAATAGTACCTTCTGAAAACTGACCCTCTTATGACGTAGAAACCTCATCTCGCGATAGTTAAAAGAAAATATCAAACGCCCGACGGAGACTGAGGCAACTGATATATTAATTCTTTCAACTTTGATCTCGCGCTAATTCACTCTGTCAGAAATCATGTATCATTCATCTCTGTCTGGAATAGTCCTGTTTCAGTATTAGGATTTTGACGTCACATCATCGCCTCGTTTTCAGAGGTCCGAAAAATCGGGGATTTCAATAATTTTTTATAAAACGTAGGGAGCTCAAAGCAACAAACGGTTTGCGGTGGTGAGCTAGTTTGGGTGAGTTCTATCGAATTATGAAATAATTTTGTTTTGTGATATAAGCCCATTAAGCGTATTAAAGTGGATTCTTTGATTTTTGAATTAGGATTTTTCTGGTCTGACTTTGGATTTTTTCTTCAGCGATTGCTTCATGACCAGTTGACCAAAACATGCAGCAACTTTATCACTGCTGCAAGTGCTGCATTTCAAATGTGCCATGTTTTATAACAGAGATGTTTCCATCAGAGATATACAGGGTGTCCGTTAAAAGGAGGTCAATTCATCAACCATATATTCCTTGAACAAAAACAATATGAGTTTCTGAATACCATTTCTCATTTTAGCCCTCCATATTCGATATACAGGGTGTCAAAGTTGGAAATCAAAAACTGTTCTTCTTTAATTACTCGCGTATTTGAAAAGATATCAATCCCAAAATCGGTACATCACTTCAGCACAAAGAGTCACATCGTGTGAGGAAAACAGAACAAAAAATAACTGTCAAATATTCAAAATACTGGGGGTCAAGTACACACTTACCCCCAAATTTTTTTTGTACGTGCGCTAATGACTTCCTATCTATTTTCCTTCGAATGTTCGATCATTTTTTAGTATTTTTTGTCTCTTGTAAAATTTCGATAAAATCATTTGTTTTTAAGATAATTCGAAAAGTACTGGTTATTGTTTGATGCCTGCTGAAGTAATGTACCAATTTTGAGATTGCTATCTTATTAAATACGCGAGTAATTAAAAAAAAAACAGTTTTCAATTTCCAACTTTGACACCCTGTATATCGAATATGGAGGGCTTAAATGCAAAATGGAATTTTATCACGTTGATAGAACGTGTGATGAAACACTGATTTGTAGAAGTAACATGTTATATTTCAGATGCAAGTTGCATATTTTTCAGAACAGTCTGATGAAAGTTCTTTGACTGATCTCTCTTGTGATACAGCTGAGACATGTGTGGTTAACTGGGTATAGTTACTCAGCTGAGAATTTGGAAAAACTGAAAATCTGAAAATAATAGTATCTGTCATTGTTTTCATAACCCTACTGTATTTCTGTCAGAAGAAGGCCAATAATTCGCTGGGGCATTATAGAGAAATACCTACAATGAATCCACATTACAGTTGAGACCAAAGTTTGGTTATTAAAAATTGTGGTGAGACAAATACAGGTTGTAGGTTGATTCAATCAAAACAATAATTATTCAGAACAAACATGAAACGAATTTCAATCAACTACAATGATTTAATTGCAGCTTTGTTCAATGTGAGGAAAAAGTATTTAAAGATAATGAAAACCGTGTGGGTTATATATTATCCACCCACAAAAAATACCAGGAAATGTTTGTGGTCAATGTCAGATCAGATGACGAGAAACATTTTTTCACAATAACTATTAATGAAAAACAATCATCAAAAAATTAGGACCATAATTCTCGGAATTTTGGCAATCAGTTACAATACATTTAGAAATTGTGAATGAACAAATGACAGTACTCAAATTTTTTGGTAAAACTCCACTTATCATGCGATGGTTTTTTTTTTCGAAAATTTTTTTCGGTACTTACGTATTATTTCGGAAAAACACGAATTTGATAATGAAAATGTGAAGAAACCACTATTTATTGAGATATCTCATGAAAAATTTCGAAATTTTATACATAAAATTCAACACGAAATATGATTTTTATGGCGAGTTCTTCATAATTTAGTGAAAAATCATACCAGATGATGGCAATTTAATCAATGTTAATCCAAATACGAGATGTCAAATGTCAACAGATTGCTCTTGAATGACATTATACACGCCATTATTTTAAATGATATCCTTCCTTTTTTCACTAAATACAGAGAAGTGCACAAAAAACGGCCAGGACCGTAACTTTCAAATTATTCGAGATAGAGTTTTGAAAATTGGTGGGCAGCTAGTATACATAACAATTTTTGTTCTATCACTTCCGGTTTTACTGGAAACGACCCCAACTTTTGAAATTTAAATGGGACACCCTGTATTGTATTCCATAATCGGTTAGGAATTGTCATAACGAATTCATCAATACCGGGTTTGATAGGGTTATTTCAAACGATTACGCAGATATTCGCGTTCTAAGTTTCCATATGCTCAATGAGTGTGACAGAGAAAGAAGTTTTTATATTGCGAAGTCACATCCATTGAGCATATGGAAACTTCGAAAGCAAATATCTTTGTAATCGTTTGAAATAACCCTATCAAACCCGGTATCGTTGAATTCGTCATGATAATCCCTAACCGATTATGGAATACAATACAGGGTGACCTATTTGAAAATTAAAAGTTGGGGTCGTTTCCGGGGAAACTGAAAGTGATAGAAGAAAAATTGTTCCATCAATTAATTAGCAATTTGGTATACTTGCTACCCACCGATTTTCAAAACCCTATCTAGAATAATTCAGAAGTTACAATTCTGGCCGTTTTTTGTGCACTTCTCTGTATATATGAAACCTGCCTTACTTGAAAGAATCATAAACTTGTAAACCTCGATGAAAATGTCTTCTTTTAAAATATCTTCTACTCTCAAAAAGTTTAGATTTTCGTCAATCTGCTTAATTTGTTTGGCAACTGTCAACAGTCATTCCTAGTCATATTCCTTGTAGGAAGACGCAATGAAAAGTAGCAACCGGAATTGGAGAAGTTGCAAATAAAACGACACATCAAGTGATTCCGGTGGCGAAATCGGATAAATAAAACGCAACTATCTTTCTAGGCCTTTATCTGAGGATGTTCCGCTTCGCGGACGAAACCCAAACCGCCAAAGTAGACCGTGCAGGGGAGACGATCGACGAGCGTAGCTTACCTTGATGTTGATGCCTCGATTCAGGTGCGAATGGGGATCTGTTCTGTTTCCCCCCGCTTTCGCGAAGCATAGTCGGCCCCCAAAGAGCCAGTCAGTTGTCTGTGAGGCTGCGGAGCGTGAAAGTATCGCAGGGTGCGCGGAAAATCGATTCGGTTCCGGCAAAAGTTTCCGCATGAGGATAAGCAGCGGAGGGATTGTCATAGTCTATTGTATCTGCAAGTAAGAAAAATAATCTATAATTTTTATGCTAGTTTTTTTTTAGGCAAATCTCTTAAGTTTGGGATTTATCCATCCTGAATTTGAATTGAAGGACGAGATTATTTCTTTTGTCTGATAAATATATTTTTATGGAGATCAGTAGCATTGAGGGATAATAGTAATAAAAAGTAATGTCTTCTTTACCAGTTAATGAAAGATAAATCAATTGGAATATTATGTCAAATGAACAAAATATCATTACTATTACATTAATTGGTGAACATTGAGATAATTTCTGCCTGAGGATAAGCGGGCGGATTTTCATAATTTGTTTTATCTGCAAGTAAGAATAATAATCTATAGGTATATACTAGTTTTTTTTTTGGAAATCTCGAAAGTTTGGGATTTATTCATCCTGAATTTGAATTGAAGGACGTGATTATTTCTTTTGTCTGATGAATATCTTTTTATGGAGATCAGTAGCATTGAGGGATGTAAATCAATTCGAATTTTATGTCAAATGAACAAAATATTATTACTATTACATTAATTAGTGAATATAGAGATGATTTTTCATTTGTTCATTCATACTGATTCTTAAATAGAAATACTTGGTTTTTAAATACATATCTTGTTGAAAAGTTTATCTCAGTCAGTTTGAGAAAATATCGAAGGTTTTATTCCTGAGTTCTGAATGAAATACAAGTTTATTGCTTTGTTCAGCAAAGATCGTCTTATGGAGATCAGTAGCGTATAGTAAGAGATGCAAATCAAATTGAATGTGTCAAATGAACAAAATATAAAATTATTATTAATACGATAGTGGCATAATTATTCTTGTTTATCCATACTGAAATTTCAATGCCCAATCACCTTAGTATCAAATTTGACGAATAGCGGGAATCGAACCCAAAGTTTTGAAAATTGGTGTACATGTTCCCTTTGGCATGACTTTCAACCAAATAAAAGTCACCACCTGTACCTGTAGAGCTTACTCCGCCATCTTGAAAAATGTGTGCACTTTTTCAGTTATCCGGTTATATCTCAGTATCTGTCAACTTTATCGATATCAATGCTGAGGTAAAATGAAGGAAATTGAATTTAGAAAAAAAAAGTTTTCTACATAAATACTCGTTTAGTGCATGGTTTATCAGTAAATCGTAAAACAATATGCGATATTTGAGAAACTTGCTCATAATTATTCTGATATACATATATTCAAACTACAAGTTACTGTCAGAGAGTTGGCGCCATATTCAAGGATCCTCGCAACAGCGATCGGCCATTACAGAATACCAGTGTTGCCACATATTAATGTTTTCTCAAGTGAGCGGTCCTGTAACCTAAAAGTAGCTCGAAGAGCAAGAATTTTATAATGAAATAAATGGATTGTAGTCCCTACATAACCTCAATCGAATCAGATTCAAAATAATTCTAAGGTATCTTGAATGAATATTGAAATGAAATTATTGCTTTCACCATTCATGTAAAAACAGCTGAACTTCATGCAGATACAAAAATGATTGAGCACATTTTGCGTGCCTACTGGTCATGACGATGATGAGCGAGATTTGGCAAAGAGGAGAATAATAAGAAAACCAGCGAAAAGTACAAAGTAAGCAGTGGACGGATCCGCTAACAATACAGACAGCTATTGAAATGTCTTCCCCTACCCAAGTCACCGTTGCTGGAGAAGATGTAGATCTACTTATTCTACTCATAGCTTTGGCACCAGCAGAACGCAACATTCATTTTGTGAAACCAAGAAAAGGCAATGTATAAAGGCAAAAAGGTACTTTTCCCGCGAACTACAAACCAATATTAAATAACAGAGCACTATCCTTTTCTTACATACCTTTGGGGGTTGTGATACCACATCATGTTTCTTTAAAAAAGGAAAGTTGAAATGCTTCAAACTCATGAAGGACCGGCCATTATTACGAGAAGTTGCGAAGGCTTTCAACAACCCGAAAGCTAAGAGTGAAGTATCTGCTACATGTGAAAGATTCTTTCTAGCTCTGTATGGTGCCCATAAAACGGAAACATCTGTTCGCTAAATCTGCTACAAAAAAAAAAAAGTAGATCTGGCTTCTCTGCCACCGACGGAAGCAGCTTTGAGGCAGCACTCCTTCAGAGTCTATCATCAGGTACAAAAGTCGTTGGGTAATCAAAAATGTCCTGAGCCTTGGAGGTGGAAGAGGAGTGCTGTTGGTCTGGTACCTGTGCCAACTACCCTACCTGCTGCTCCAGATTCTTTGCTCCAGATGATTTCTAGCAATTGCAAGAAGGGATGCACGGCAGCCTGCGGATGCAGAAAAGCGGGTATTAAATGGTCGATTAGTTGCGAATATTGCCTTGGAGCATCGTGCCTCAACGCACAATACTGTCAGGACGACGCCGAAACGCTGGAATCCGAGGTGAAGGACGATTTTCCCGTTTCATCTCTTCTAAGTAATGAATATACGAAGTTCCGGACGAACCAGACCCGATGGTTGTATTTTCAAATAACGAAGAATTCATGCCTTATTCTCCATGTTATACCCTGCGTCTTCGAAATGGGTAATATACCCGAAGCGTAGAGTTGTCCCAGTTGTCAGCAGACCGAGAGCGGCTGATGAGACCTGGTGGGTCGAAACAGTACAGTCTCGCTCCTGCTGACAATTGTGGCAACTCTGTCCATTCTGGAACTCTTGGTTATGAGATCTAGCAGCTTTTCTGCAGGTCACCATGAGCGTATACAACTAAATTATAGTTTGTCCAGTCGGTTTGCAGTAGAATTTTATATTTGCCAAATCGTTGTGGCGACATAAGTCCAAAACCGTGCATATTTCGAAAATAATCAATGACTACTTTTTTACGATAAATTTTGTTAGCTTCCTTTTACCTCTCCACCTTTATCGCGATAAAGTTGACAGTTACCGAGATATACGTGAAAAACTGAAATATTGCACCTATTTTAAAAGATGGCGGCGCAAGCTCTACAGGTATGGGTGGTGACTTTTGTTTGGAAAGATGTAATGCTAAAAGGAACAGGTACACCAATTTTCAAAACTTTGGCTCCGATTCCCGCTATTTTTTCTAAGGTGACTGGGCGTGTATCTTGGTCATTTCGTGACAATGTCTTCAAACCAGAAAGAAAATGTAGAAGGCATATACCGGGTGTCAACGAATCTATTAGACAAGTCATAACTTCTGGACCATTAGGTGTATCAAAATGAGATTTGGTATTGGTAAATGGTATGTGAAGAGGAGAGTTTTCACATATTTTCCACTTTCCGGTAACTTCCGGTTTCACCGGAAATGGCTCCGGTTCTAAATTTTTAAATGGAACACCCTGTATATTGTAACCTTTTTTGATTTCTGAGACAATTTTAGATCAGAATGTGACATTTTCGAAAGTTTTTATGCCTACTCTATTTTTAAGGAGTCACTTTTGAAATTACATCTATATAGGTGGCCATGATCGGAAGTAAACAAATCTAAGGCCTTTTATTATATTTCATGTGGCTAGCTATAGTTAATGAATAGGTATACAAAGATTACGAAATTTATGTTAATGATGTTGATGATGTATTTAATTCATTTATATGGAATTTCCAAATGTGCTGGTTATGAATGATTATTTTATCATTTGTAAGTGAATGTAGAAGTTACTCAGAACAGCTGTGAAAGCTTTTCTGGTTATTCCATCCAACGAATAATTTCTTTGAAATGTGTTTGCACATAAATTAGCGACTACCTACTTATGCAAAAATTGGTACAGGGTGATTCACCATAAATGTGCCCCCCCCTCTAGCTCACTTATTTTTGAACCGATTTAAGAATTTGAAAAATCATCTAGAAAGATTTTTCAGAAATTTTTTCCCGTTGCATACAGGGTGCTCGAAAAATACGATATACAGAGTACTACTCGATTTTTTCCAATGGAACACCCTGTATTTCATTGTATTTTTAGATTCTCCCTCTCAATGTACCACACTTGGGGTCTAGCGGGAATGATTACAGAGATATAGGGTGTTCAAAATCGAGATTTTTCAACTTTAGGATTTTTTTGTGTCGAAACTATTCATTATTGGTCAAAACGACTTCAATGTCTCTATCTCAACTTTTGATTTATTATCTACTGACATTCAATTGGAATATATACAATGTGGTTCAAGATTCAGAATTCTGATCACCCTCTGATCTGTTCCAATTATTAAATGTCAGTAGATAGTAAATCAAAAGTTAAGATGCGGACATGAAAGCCGTTTTGAACGATAATGAATAGTTTCGTCACAAAAAAATCCTAAAGTTGAAAAATCTCGATTTCTCTGTAATCATTTTCGCAAGACCCCAAGTGTGATACATTGATGAAATCAGCTCTTCAGGGTGAATCTGAAAATACAATGAAAAATAGGGTGATCCATTTAAAAAATATCGAATAGTACCCTGTAGATCGTTCGTTCCGAGCACCTCGAAAATCACTTTAGATGATATTTAAAATTTTGCGATCGGCTCAAAAATAACTGAGCTTGAGCGGGGGGGGGGTAACATTTATGGTGAATCACCCTGTACCTAGAACCAAAATAAACAGGAACTGTATTCCTGATATATTTCCAAACAAATTTCTGCAAATAATTAATTTCAAAAACATGCATCTGATAGTGACAAACTTCCTGAAAGTATAAAATATCTCATTGAAGCTTGCTAATGAATTTCAAATCATAACAAACAACATAATACCTATGTTATGCAATATCAATAATTATTGGAATAAGTAAGTGATTAGTTTCCATCTGTAATACGCCCTATCCTATTGCCATGTGTACATTTTTATTTTTTCATTTTTTCCCCATTTTTTAGTCCTTCGTCTATATGTTTGATTAGTCATTATAGGTATTTATGCTGAGCTGAAGAAATTCCAGTAGCGGATCATGAACTTTTTCCACTACTAGCTCTGAAAACTGGTCGTTATGTATACAGGGTGTCCCATAAGTAATGGATCAAAAGAAGTGGGGAGGTAGGGAAGGTCATTTGCA